GCGCCGCCTGAACTGAGGCGAACTCCGCCGCCAAGTGAGTGAGGAGGAGGAGGAGAAGGAGGAGGAGGAAGAGGAGGAGCGCAGTCAGAGCGCGGCGGCAGCGGCAGAGGCGCCGCGGCGGGGACCAGCCCAGAGAGACCCCGAGCCCGCGGCACAGGCGGCGGCGGCGCTGAGCGGGCGCGACCATCTGAACGAGCGGCGGCCCCGGCTCCTCCTCGTCCGGCGCCAGCGGCCCGCGCCCGCACTCGGCCCGCCGAGACCCGCCTCCCGCCCGCCGGCCTCGTGAGGGACGCGCCGAGCCGGCGGCCGAGGAGCGGCGGCGCCGGGAGCGCGTCGGGCCCGGGCGGAAAGTGCCTGCGGGGGGCGGGCGAGCGCGCGGTGCCGGCCGCCCCGGGGCTCGGCGCGGGAGCCGGAGCGGGAGCCGTCGCGGAGTGGGACGCCGAGTCCCGAGCGGCCGGCGGCCGGGGCTCGCCCCCGCCCCTCCCTCCTCTCCGGCGGCGGCGGCGGGCGGAGTGAGCTGCGGAGCCTGGAATATGGTCGGGGAAATGGAAACGAAGGAGAAGCCGAAGCCCACCCCAGATTACCTGATGCAGCTGATGAACGACAAGAAGCTCATGAGCAGCCTGCCGAACTTCTGCGGGATCTTCAACCACCTCGAGCGGCTGCTGGACGAAGGTGAGCCCGCTCTCGGGCCCCAGCCCCCGAACCCCGCCGGGGGCGGCCCCCTTTCCCCGCTTGGGATGGTGGGGAGGGCGGGAAGGTCACGGCCGGGCGGGACCGCGCGCCCGGGGGGACGGGGAGGCCGGGAGGAGGGCGCACAAAGGAGGCGCGGGGCCCGGCTCGCGGCGGGTGGGCCGGGGCCGACCCACAGGGGCCGGACGCCCCCTGCCCGCTCGGCTGGGACCCCGCGCCGCTGGAGCCCAAGTTTGTGCGCTGGGGAAGGCTTCAGGGCAAGCCCTCCGGCCCCGCTAATTTTCACGGTTACGTTTCCGAAAATCGAGAGGGGCCGGTCAGGCTTGGTGGTCCTCCCCGAGCCCTCCCTGAGAGCAGGGCCCGTGCCGCGCCGCCGGCCTAGAGGACACGCGTGTCCCCAGCCCCCGCGCGGCCTCCGAGCCCGCTCTCAGCGCGGATCTGCGAAGCCTCTCCATTTGGGAGCCCTCCTCCCATGAAGACTTTGTGGGATTCCCAAACAAAAGCATTTAGTGGGGTTTTTGTGTTTTGGAGTTTGTGTAGCTTGTGAATGCTCAAGTTGAAGTCAGCGTGGGGCTTGTTAATTGAAAGAAATTCCGTAGGAGATCGAAAGTAATGCTGATGTAGCCGAAGGTGACGACAAAATGACAGCGAAAAGCACTTTTTGTCCTTTTGTTTGGGGAAGCGAGAACTGTTAGGAGTTTAACTTCACTTTTTGTGTGTGTGTGTGGGGGGGGGGTGGCGTACGAAATACCGCGATGACAGATCTAAACGTAATCCCGAGTTTGAAAGAACTTGGGCGGAGGGTTTGCTCCCAGGAGGCAGCCGCCTTAGCTTGTAGCAAAGGGAATCGAGACGTTTCAGAGGGCGAAATAAAATTGAGCAAAAGTTTGCAAAAAGCTTCGTTGGTGAAGCGCTGTGGGGAGCGAAGAATGACAAGGAGATTAATGTTGACCAACTCTGGAATTTCTTTAAGAAGTTCTTGTAGCAATAACCTGGAGTATTAATTTCTAGTAGCTGTGGGTTTCTGTGGACGCCTAGAGAACAAAATGACCAACAGAAACGTCTATTTTTAAAATCGAGTTGCAAGGAGTTTCTTTACTCTGTTTAAAGGTATCACCAGAGGACTGTTTGAAGGAAATTGAAAACTGTAGGTTGAAGAGATGAATGATGGATTTTAGATTTTTCACAAGAATTTCGAGATTTTAAAAATAGAGCTGGGGAAAAGGAGTCTGAAGCTTAGGGAGTTGGAATGTCACTAAAGAACAAAAGACCGGAAATATCTCCATGATAAAAAGATGGCTAAAGAAAAATCACAGGAGCTTTTGTTATCTTGAAAGTTACAGAAACAATTTTAAAGTAAAAAACTGTTAGTTATTACTGCTTTCTCGTCGGTTTGCTTACATATGTTAAGCATAATGCAGTAACACATATTAAAGTGGACATTTTCCGCTATTGGAACAAAAAATCTGTTAATTGCAAGTTGCTCCAGAGAAAACTTGAGCTGTCCCTTTAAGGGTTTCTGCTTTTCTTATTTGTGTTGGCATTTGAAAGATCGTGGAGGCAGAAAACTTTCTGGAATGTCAAAAAAAAATTGCTGGAACTCTTAAACTGAGTATTTCCAACCATGGGCGCTAAGGGGCGCCAGTTATTGTTATTTTTAACCATGGAAATGTTTGGAATGAAATGTGTAATATACTCAGTAATCTGACCTATATTAAATTTAGTTGAAACTTAAATTATAGATCATTTCATTTGTCATGTGTGTCTGTAAAAGTGTTTGCGAACACTGAAAACATTTCCTTTAAAAATATTGGCACTTTATCCCATTTAAAAAATAATGTGCTGTTATTTTCTCCTTGTCGTATTTTGGTTAAAGTTTTAGTAGCGTTAGTAACAGTTTCTGGTGAAAGTTTTTTTTTTTTTTTTCCTTAAAATGCGTTTGTTTAGAAGGAATCCCTTACAGACATTAAGATGGAAATAGGCCCGGACAATATTTAGGATTAATTAAATTGAAATTAGATTGCATTCTTAAAATACTGAATTCAGTCAAAGAGTGTAGGAGAATATAAAAAATTTGGAAATACCTTCACCTTATGTGTACTTTTAAAACACCTAAATAATCTGAGTTTCGTGATTAGTAATAAAAGGCTTCTCACTTGTGCTTTTATGTTAACCTAAAATCTTTAAATTTAGAGTGATTCCTTGTTAAGTTTCTAACTTTTGGCTTTAATAATTTTCAGTCTTTCAAATCTAGAAATTTCAATTACATCATTATTTCTAACAAAGGTTTATTTCTCTCTGGTTGGAAATGGTAACCATTTGAGTTTTAAATGTAGGAGACCCATAGTTTAGAATGATACCGTCTAAATAAGGTTTGTTTCCCCTTTTAATTTGGTTTACTCCGTTTTTCATCTTAGTATATCTTCAGTTTTAGCGTTTTCAACTCCCTAGCATAAAGATTGCTTCTGTATGGTAGCTAATGGTTTAAAAATGGGCAGCATAATGACATGGAAGTTTGTTTTTTATCAGACCAGTACAAACATGCAGGAAAAAGGACTATTCCTTAGTGTGGATCAGGCTGCTTCCTGTAATTGTTAGCCTTATTATAAACTTAATTTGACTTAAGAAAAATATTGGTTTCTGAAGTGCATCACATTTTTTTTCTTGCTGGATGATTTAATTGTGAAATTTGGCTAGTCGGCGTTACCCCTTTGTGGCCTGTCATGGTCCGAAACAAATTAATCATGACTTCTGTTTGTGATCAGGAATTACATATTCCTTTGCCCGTGATGCTTAAGCTGAAAAACTGTAAATTTTTTTTCCATGATTAGTTTAATGAAGTTAGCATGTTGTACTTAGAGTAGATGTGTTTTCTGATATTTAGAAATTTTGAATGAGACTTCAACAGTTTTATTTTAAAATATTTTTCAAATAACCTTTACAAATTTCTCAGTTTGAGAAATTTTGACTAGTTATAAATTTGGTAATTAAGTATGAGGGGTTTTCCTGGTTGATTAAAACTTTGAATGCTTTAGAATGAGCATTTTAATTGCTTACCAAGTTAACCTTTAGTCTAGATCTTGACTATGGACAATCTTTTTGTTTTACTGTCTGTTTTTGTTTGGGCACGGTTGGGGAGGTGGGGGGGTTGTCATTCTTTCCTTCTAAGTATCTTGAACATGGTTGCTTTTTAAAGTTGTGAATACATTCTAGGTTGGGCCAGTCATAAAGGACGTAACTTCACTTTGGAATCTTTTATTGAAGATAGAGATGATTATAGGATTACAGATAAAACCTAGGTCTTAAACTGCTCTGTCTTCTGAAAGAAGTTTTCAAGTGAACCCTGAGACCATCTTTGGGAAAGAGCAGCTAGAACACAAAGATTTTTTTTAAACAAAGACTTTTCTTTGTCATGAAAATGAAACTTACTAACAATAGTTGAGTGCAAATTATGCTTTTATAAAATTTTGAATTGAGAAGGTGAAGAATAAAATTAATTTGACTTAAAAATCCCAAATGAGGGAGAGGTAGAAAACTAGGTATTTTAAAGTCAGATTTTGTGTTTTTGTTTTGTGGGGGGGCTGTGTTAAAGCTGCTGATACAAGAATGAAAACATACAGTTTGTGAGGAAGGACAGTCTAAGTCTTTTCATTATTGATATCACAAAAATTAGTGTGTGGCTCAGAAAAAGTGAGCAGATTAGATACTGCATTACTGATTTGAAAAATACATTTCCATTTTCTGATGGCTTTTTGTTTGTTTTTATAGTAAATTTTGTTTTGACCTCAACTTAGTTTCTCACCTTGCCTGCTGCCTCTCACATAAGAATATGAGGAAAAATATTTTAAGATAAAACTTGCTTTACTGGTCAACATTTTTCCATGTTAATGTTTATTGCTATTTATTATGCATTCATTGAATGTATCATACCTTCAGTTCTCCGACATTTAATTTTTTTTTTTTTTTTTGAGAAACTTTGCTCATTTACAAAAGCTTTGGCTAAAAAATTATATGCCTGTTGGTAATGAGGGGACTTTTGCTATGTAGGTTTCTTACAATTTTATGTTTTCTATTTGTGTGACGAAGCAGTCATTGACAGTAATCAGTATCTGTGACAGACAGATTTTACATAAGGTGAAATAATGAATTTGTTCTTTAGGAGCTAAGATTTTGCTTTTGTACACAAGCTCTTTGAATTAGTTATAATAAGAAGGAAGCTGATATTTATAATCAGTTCTTTCCATTACCTTTTTAACTCATCCAGGAGGTGTCACCAGCTATATATGGCAATAATGGAAGTGATCATTTGTGTCGTATAATGGAAATGATCATTTGTGGATTACTTATTTAGCAGTCATTCTCTACTTCTAAACCTTAACTCCCCTGTAGGTGGAAGGTGATGATTCCTTTGTAAACTTTCCCTAGTTTACATGTTTTATAATAAAAGTTGTATTCTCAAGTATATAACAACGTTAATAAAGTAGGTCTCTTTGCTAATTACATTTGCTGTGTCCATACCGTATTTGGTATGGACACCTTTTCTTAAATGACTTTGAGAATATCAACTTAAAACAAGGTAATTTGACTTCTTAAATGCTTTGTGCACTTTATATTTCTGTTGTTATTGCCTTACTAGTCACTGTTACTGTGCTGGAGCTGATTAAAATTAGTCATTTTTCCAAAGTGAAGTAATAATCCCCTCCCTTTTACCTGGCCTTCACTGAAGCATAATTCAGATGCTCCTTTTTTGAGACCAGTGTACTTACACATGTAAAGACTTTTCTTTTTTTGTTTTGTTTTGGTATTAAGGGAATTAATTATACTAGTGTGATATTAGGGACAGCTTTTTATAAACTTACTGGAACTACACTTTAATTTACTTGAGAAATTCACTGTAGCTAATATATTTGTTTGATGGTGCCATTGTAAGCAAAACTTGCTCTTCTCTGTTGGAGATGAAAAATGCTGTGACATTGGTGGGC